TGGTTCTCCTTTCTTGTCAGCTTTCTTTGGAACAATTCACCTTTCCTGCAACTTACAGGGCAAGATGGTTGAGGCAGTTGAAGCCACTGCGAAGCTGTTCTATGAATATACAATTATCAACAATTGCCTTCTTCTTTTCAACAATTTATAGCGATTGAGCACTGAAGCATCCTAAATCTCCTTGAGAACCCGACAAACAGCAACACTGATCCTGTTCACTTGAGATTCGGTGTCGTCCTACTCACATTGTGAACCGTGAGAGGAGCATGAGAAAAGCACCTGTGTCATGTGACCCATGCATTTGCGTCTTTTCTTTGCCAGGCTGTTTCGGACCATGAGCAGCCGACGAAGCGTCGGTGGCCACCTGCACCCCAGGTCGGACTGCTGGCTCTCGATCGAAACAGAAACTAAAGGCAAACACAGGACTCTGAGGGCGGTTGGAAAGGTCGCCTGTTGCTAGTGAGCAATCTTCTTGGCTGCATAGCGACTTGCGAAAGTTCATGTCTTTTAAACCATGTCACCACGTCAAGGATGGAGTTGGTGAAATAGAATACTCTTAGACGATCTTGAACACATAATTACATGTCAGCAACTCAGCATTGACGAGTCGCTATATTTATATATACAATTTATGTTCATGATGTTTCATGATTTAGAGACAATACAACTCTGAGACAGGAACTTGCTCGCTGGGGCAGCAACTCCTCATGGCGATCAGCACAGTCTGATGGCTCGAGATCAGAGCCTCTTGAGCAACAATTTGAAGACGATTTGGAGGTCATCGCAGGTAGGTTGGAGGCCATCGCAGGTAGGTTGGAGGTCATCGCAGGTAGGTTGGAGGTCATCGCAGGTAGGTTGGAGGCCATCGCTCTTAGGTTGAATCGAACACTCAGAATGCTTTCTTTGAGGCCCTAGATCTGAACGCCTTAGCACTTGTGAGAACGATTTTGGTACTACCCCAACACTCATTCTTTCACTTCTTAACGTGCGATCTGAAACGTCCAACAGAAGTCCTGGCACTACAACTTGCAACAATGCAACGGCCCACAAAGACAAACCCGATTTCGAGGATAAAGATGCAAACCGGCTGTGTAGTTTCCTTTGGACACAGGTCCTTTGGTGTTGGCCAGTTGAAAAACAGTTATTGACGAGATTTTCAAGAAGCCCTATCAATCACTTTTCTATATGTTTATGATATATTATATTGTCTATTGTCATAGTTTCGTGCCCGTGGAGGGAATGAGGCTCATGGGAGGATGCTATCTGTGACAACTGAGGTGGAGTAGCTGGAACAATGGAGGCCCGTGGACACCAAACCCTTGACTCGAAATAAGTTCAAGGCGGTTTGACCGATGGCAACTTGTGGTTCGTTTTCTAGCATGCTAAGAAGTCCAACATTTATCCATCAAAGAACATTTGAGACTTCAAATGTCCCTCGGACCCTCTACTACGAGGCCAGGTCCGGAATGATTTGCCTGCAGAACCAACTATTGGCAAGATGCTTTCCTTACTACCTTCACTACCGAAAGGCCCGTCAGTGCAAAGTGCCTGTAGAATCTTGTAGAATGCAGTAGAACTTAGAACTGTAAGCTTGTTTGGAATGCTTGCTGATGAGGCATTAGTCAACACGATGAGGACGACATCAAACAATGGCTGGAGCCGGCTTAGCCAAGATTTTGGTGCCAATGAAGGGTCTAAGTAGAAGAGCTCTAAATGGATCAAGAGAAGGTGAGGGCGCTTTCAAGAGACCAAAGAGACCTTTGCCTTCTGTATTTATTGCATATTTGTTTGGACCCTTCATTTTGTAAATCATAAGAAATTTCCATGCCTTGTAATATACATTGTTTTCTGATAGTACTGTCATCGGCCATGCATGCTATCAACTTCATGCGATACTTTTCACAGCTTCACTATCACAGTTCAATAAGTGCAGAGGAAAGCTTGTTGTGGAAGTTGCTATTTGCAGCACATCCTGGTGCCAAGGTGCAGCAATGTTGGCGACAATGTGCCAGAGACGCCAATTGTGCCATGCAAGACTCCGTTTGAGGTGGCGAAGGTTTGTATTTGGATTGAAGCTATATTGAAATGACTGGAGCCAGCTCTTACATAGAGAATGGATATGGAAACTCTGTTACTCATCCGAATTCAACTGTGTACAAGTATATGAGTCTATGAGCTGACTCATTGAGTCTCGTGGAACATAACGAGACTTTTCCAGTCCATCGAATCCAACCAGGGCTGGCTGGCGGACTGCGCATACCAGAACGGCATGCTCGAGGCGCACTTGGCAGAAATGGTAGCAGAACACACTTGGTGCATCGTGGTGCCTTGTCACGGATAATCTATGATCAAGGTCTCAGGCTGTCTCAGGCTGAATTTATATCGCAACCGACCCTGCTTCAGGACCACCAGTGGTTTGGTAAGCAGGACTGTGCCTCGACAGTTTTGAACGGTACGAGCATAACAAAGCATACCGGGAACACTCAAAGTAGCTGGGTATACCAAGAGCCTGAAGAGGAGCTGGTTTGTTGGTTCTTTGGGTCATCCCAAAAAATGAATGAATCCGACAACCGAAAACAAAACAGTCTTATGATGATGTCTTATGATTAGAAAAGCTTGGAACAGTAACTGCAGGAGCTATTGCAAAGCTGTGATGAGCAAGGCACGCCATTGGGGTTGGTGATTGACCTGGTCAAGATCTCAGAGGAATTGGTTTTGAGTCTCGCGAAGAAATCTTGACATCACACAAGCGCGCACTTGCAGCTTAGGTCAATACCTCCAAGTGCGCATGAGATCTCAGCAGTCTTATGAGTCGTATGTCGTACCCGACATGTGATCGAAGAGATGCTTCAGGCATCATTTGGAGAAGTGGGAAAGGTTTCATGAAACAAGATATGCTCTCAGCAGCTTTTCTTGGTTCATGGCATCAACCAACATCAACAAAACATGCATCAGCAGGACACAGACAGAGCCAGAGACGTTTTACATGCTAGAGTCACTAGTAATCATTGCTACCACTCAAGCAAGTCACGACCAGAAATCAGATTCGAGCTTTTTCTTCAGCCCAACAGCACAACAGCCACTTCAATCTCAGCTGATACCTGTACCAACTTGTGCCATGAGCTTTATGCATGCAACCAATGGTACGCTTAGAGAGCTGAGTCGCTTTGAGTTGTGGGGGCAAAGGGCATACAAGGGCAAGGACGCTACTAGGGGCTTCTGGCCTTACTACTAAGAGCAAGGACGCTACTAGTAACAAAGGGCATCGCTACTAGGAGCAAGGACGCTACTAATTGCTTTTGCCAAGACAAGGGCATAAGCCGGAAAGCACACAGGAAGATTAGCGAAAGCATTGGCTTACTGGCTTTCCGTCTTAGTCTTGAACTTCCCCAGAAGTCTCTTAACACATTCCTCTTGAGCATTCAGTTCGCTCAAAATCTAGGAACCAAATCATTAAGCCTGAGCCTTAGCCTGCCTGACGCCTGAGAAACTGCTTGAGCTTAGTGGTCCTACTCTCTGGAGGCTGCTTGCTCACACTCACCTACTTACTCCTCCCCATGGCGTAACCGCAACCCTTCCCCTTTTAACAACTTTGTCCTCTTATTTTTCGCGCTGAAGGCTTTGCTTTCCATTTCGCTTTCAGGTTCGAAGCGCAAGGCCGATGCAGTGGACCAGGCCCGGTGGCCCGGTGGGAGGTGCTTCACGAGTCTTGGCGCTCGAGCAAAGCCGAGGCCTTGCAGAAAGCCGAGGCGCTCAGAGCAGCCCAGAAGGCCCAACACTGACGGGTTTGAAAGTTAGTAACAAGAAGCTACTAGAAACAAGTGCATCGCTTCTAGTAACAAGTGCCTTACTAGTAGTAACAAGAAGCTGTTCACAAGCAACTAATCAAGTGTTTTTCTAAGTTTGTTCGGCCTGTCACTGTATGTGGCAGATCCCTCAGTGATTGTTTCTCGGACCCATAGACTCCTTAACCAAGAAAATGGATCAGTTGATCCATTTCAATAAAATTGTCCACGATTGCTTCTTGGGATTGATCCTATCCATGGTTCCATGAGATTTCGAGTCATTTGTCATCTCTCTTCATGCATGTCTTGGCCGTGCGCAGAACAAAGAAAAGGCTGCGGCCCTTAAGAAGGCAGCCGAACTCAAGGTGCAATTCCTTCGACGGCGCGCATGACTGCCTTGATGGTATTGTGCTGGACGAGCTAAACTTAGTTTTGGAGATGTTTACGTTAAATTTCAGCCAATGTGCCCCAGAATGATTTTGATGCAGCTCAAAGCACATCAACATTCCGAACATCCCCGTTGACAGAAGGTGTGTTGGTGCCTTCCATTGCTTCGGCTTTTTCCTGTCGAGGCAGGACAACTGCGAGAGCTTCGGAAGCCCAGCCAAAGCCATGGCAGCCATGGCAACCAGGGCCATAGCCACCATGGCCACAGTGGCCAGGGGACACATGGCAGCCAAAGGCATAGCAGCCATGGCCAAAGCCATAGCCATGGCCAAAGCCATAGCCATGGCCAAAGCCATAGCCATGGACTCCAGCATAGCAGCTCCAGAAGCAACATCACTGGGGAGCGGCTTCCGGGGAATGCGGGGACATGGGAAAGCGTGATTGTAGATGTAGACAAATTCTGTGACTGTAGGAGTGTCAGGATCTGGCAGGTAAGTAAGGAAGACCCCAGTCTTAAAGTTCATGTGGTTCATGTCAGTCTCCGTTTCTGACATTTTTCTTCAGAGAGGGCATACTTGCAAACTTAGATGCAATAAATAAACAAGCAAGCCTAAGACAAGGTAGGTTGAGGCCATCGCTAGGGTTGGAGACCATTTCTGTTTGTTTTGTTTATTTCTTTCTGTTTTTACTAGTAGTAACAGGTGCCACGCTAGTAGTAACAATGTTCGGTTGAGTCCTTCAACGGATTGTTTTTGTTTTCTTTTTTAAATTAATAGCTTCTTGTTACTACTAGTAAGGCACTTGTTTCTACTAGCGTGGCACTTGTTACTACTAGTAAGGCACTTGCTCCTAGTAGCGATGCACTTGTTTATGCGAGAGCAGACGAAAGACAAAAAGTTTCAGACTCGCAGGAACACTCCAGCTACCATCGCAGCAGCAGCGGTCTGATTTGCCGGAAATGTCGGCTGAAATATGACCCTCGCTACAAAGCTGAGTTCAAGGACGCAGCTTAGTAGCATGCACTTCTGATTTACAACACGATACTGGCACAGCATGTTACTGTCAAAGTTTGTTGCGGTTTCTCATTTATTCCTTGATTCTTGTATACAGTTTCCAACTGGATACAGTCTATACATCATCGCTGGAGGACGGCTACTGCTTAAAATGCCGGCAGAGAGCTGCTTGGACTAAAGCCATGCTGTTCACATGGGTTGAATCTCAAGTCAATGTGCTAACTGTGAAAATGGTCTGAGAGACATTTCGCCCGAATTTTATAATTCGAAAGATCTCGTCCTTTGCCTTTGGCAAGTCAGCCACCTCTGTTAGAAATTTACTTCTGTGAAGGCCAAAGAAAAAGCCGCAGCTCTTCAAAAGGCTGCTCAGAAGAAGGCTGCAGAGAAGAAGGCTGCAGAGAAGAAGGTGCCTGGCTGAACTTTAAAGTTGGACACAGGTAGCAACACCTTTAGCTAAACTTTAGCGCTCGAAACGGCCACTGCCACTTGGTCTCAGCCAAGTTTATTTTTGTCAGGCCTGTAGTCTATGTAGTGCATATAGCCCCCACCCCATGTTTCAGGTGTCTTTGTTGCTAGTTTGTTGCTGGTATTGGTGGTTTGTGCTTACGGACAGACAACCGGAGCAGTTTTTGGTTCTTTCATTTTTTGTTGTTATTCTTCCTTATTACTAGTAGCTTCTAGCTATAGTAGTAAGGCACCTGGTTACTACTAGTAAGGCACCCTGTTACTAGTAGCTTCTTGCTACTAGTAGTAAGGCACCTGGTTACTACTAGTAAGGCACCCTGTTACTAGGAGCTTCTTGCTACTAGTAGCAAATTAGCTACTAATAGCGATGCACTTGCTACTATTAGCGATGCACTTTGTTACTAGTAGTGGCATCCACTTCACAGCATCGCATTCACATCACTCCATTCACAACATTGTCAAGCGCACACCACTGCGCACAGCACAGTCATTGTTTTCACAATGTGGTCATCACTTTCATCATACTTTCGCAACTTGGAACATGGTTGAGACTGGCAAAGCTCTCAAAAACGACAGTCCAGTGACAAACTGGTCGACAAGGCATGGTGGGAATAAACATTTGATCTTGACTGTGACTGGGGAGGGGCACGAGAACTGAGAGCGGATGTCGTTTTTTTTTGTGATACAGCGTGCACAATGAACTGGGTTTACCGGTTTACCGGTTTACCCACGCAAATTGGCCTGAACGAAGAAAGAACAGATACAAAGGTTCAGCAAAGCTTAAAACGCCATCAAGAGCTGAGAGGAGACGAGAAGAGAACAGAGAGAAGAGTCATCCTTTTTGATGCTGTGTACTTTGTGTGTATCCTTTCACCTTTTGCAGAGTGAAACCTGCCCTTGACTTCCAGGCTGTGGCACAACACGAACGCGGCCGTATGGCTGCTGCGACCAAGCGCCCGTGTCTGGTACGCCATGGGCGGTTTGGTGCACGGCAATGGCACCGTTGAGTGTCAGAGGTTGCTTTTGAAACCCCCGAAAGTGTATTTTTTTGCATGGAAATTGGCCTAGAGGCGTCCTGCATTCTTACAATGAATTGTGGTGGATATTCCAACACCTATCTTCACAAGTTGCAGGACTCGCGACCAAGCTATCATCGCAATCAAAGCGCCCTGATCTGTCGCAAATGCCAACAGAGTTCCAACCTTCGTCGCATCCCGGATCTCAAGGCCAGACGTCGCCATCGCTTCGTGTGTCTTGACGACTACATTGATGTCTAACAAGTTAGCAACTAGCTAGTAACAAAGGGAATCACTACTAGGAGCAAGGACGCTAGTGGTAGCTCCTGGCCTTACTACTAGTAATTAGCAAATAACTACTGTAGCAAATAGCTACTAGGATGGACGAGACACTTCATGTGTGCAGGATGGCACCTTTCTTTGCCCGCCCTGCCGTTTGCGGGATGCTCACCAGAATTGAGGGGCCAATGAGGCCAATATATAATTACTCTGCACTCAATGGAATGTTGACTTCATCACTGACAGCAGCATGCAATGTGAGCGAGCTTTTTTGGGGGCGGCTGCACCCTTTGCAAAGAATCCTCCCGCCGCCCCAGTGAAGGTATGCTGCTTCTAGTGTATGGGCCCGTCGCCAAAACATACACTGCTGTGCTAAGGAGATGGACCCTTTCAATGCCATGCGTGAGAACGAGAAGGGGCTTCTGAAGCTCAGGCTTAACGGACTTGTGTGGACTCCTCTTGGATCGATTTTTTGTTTTAAGGCCGCGGGGGTGGGGGTTGTAGAGAAGCTACAAGTGTTGCCTCTTGTTACTAATAGCCATGCCAGGAGCTACTAGTAGCTTCTTGTTACTAGTAGTAAGGCCAGGAGCTACTAATGGCGTCCTTGCTCCTAGTAGCGATGCCCTTATTGCTAGTAGCTTCTGGGCCCGAGCCTCGTCTGAGGAAGTTGATGGTCTTGCAACCGCCAATTCTTCCAGAAGACGCTGCTGGTGAAGCAACCGTTCGTATCAGGCTGAATATGCCCAACTTGGTGTCGCTTGGCAAAACAATGGTTCAAGTTGGGAGCAACAGAAGCCACCTTCATTCAAACCGGTGTGACGCAATCTCTTTCTTTTC